CACATCGTCTTACTATAAAAACATTTGTGCAAAGTTATTTCAGATTCCTTCAATAAATGACAAAGTTATGGACCGGACACGAAAGTGTGACGGACGGACAGTTGGACCGACAGACGGAAGGATATCCCCTTTTTCGAAGCATTTGTGCCAAGTTATTTCAAATTCCTTCAATAAATGACAAAGTTATGGACCGGACACTAAATATACACTGTAACAGGCTATGTTAATATTTGACCTCCACTTGTGACCTTGACCTAAGAGGTAGGTGACCGGTTGTTGCGCATGACACATCTTCCATCAATTATTTCAGCAGGAGATCAATTCATATTCAAAGGTTTTTCTATTTTTAGCTTTAGCTGCCCCTAAAAGGGGCCAATCAAATTAATATGAGCAAATTTGATGACACACTTCTATGCTACAGACAAAGTTTGGTGATCATCCATTGATTAGTTCTGTAGAAGCAAACATTTAAAGGTATTTCTTTTTTTTTCAGTATTTAAGTTCAAGTTTATGGTAGTGTTTGCTTGTTTATTTATTTCTTTACTTAAATTGTTTCCTTTCATCTTTTAATAAAAATTATTCAATTGAATACTTTTTAAAAGAGAAATCACTCGCATATAACTTATATTTGGTTATTAAAATTAATTTGAAAACACGCGTAATTATCATGATTGTTTAAACACATGCATGGTTGTTAGACATTATTCACAAGTTTTGACGGTCAACGAGTGGATCAGTGGCAGTTATTCTGGCTAAATAATAGGTGTGAAATTCTGTCATAATTGTATAATCTGTACTGAAATTTTACTTCGAAAAATATGAGGTATCCCTATAATGCATTGCTTATATTGATTTATAAAGAGATAAATACAGGACTGCAGATCTACTTTGGATTATAAATGCAGGGTATTCCAATAAAGGGTTGTTGGTTAATTAGGGTCAAACTGTAGTAACACCCTAATTTTGAGCACGGAATGCGCTCAAGAGTGATCAATCTTTACCATATCACACTTTACATGCTAGTTTTTGTATTAAATGTGTGATTTTTCTTCCAATTTTATTTTTGTTTTTGATGGGATTTTTTTTAACCAAGTGCCCTGACTGATTTAGCAGAAATAAAAAGATAAGGAATGATCAATCTTTACGATATCACACTTTACATGTAAGTTCCTAGGCCTAAGCATTATTTAAACCATTTGGTCTTCAGACTGACTCAGTCGATACAAAGCAATATACCCCCACTTCTTTGAATGGGGGCATAATATATTATGGTCTATAGAATAGATTTCCCATACCTGCTTAATAGTTTAATTGAACCAAAAAATTTGAGACTGTAATAACTGTAGAAATTTTCAATTAACTGCAGATGTTACAGGGCAATATACCTCTAAACTAGTGCATTTCTCAAGTAATCTTTTTATTTTCTGTGAAAAACAAAATACTGTAGATTTCTGATGCATGATTAACTCAATCAACATGTACGTATATTCTCAATAAATACACAAAAACATTACATTTAATTTTATTTTCAAGTTTCTTTATATTTCACTAATCAATACAAGTTTAGAGATTTAATTGTTAAATAATTCTGTGATGTCTTGAAAGTTATTATAAATGTATTATATGTCATCACAACAATTAGGAATGGTTTGTAAATGTCAATTGTATTAATAGATAATATATAGATAATGTATCAGTCGAGTGTAGGACAAAAGCCCCCCCCCCCTGACCCCCCTCTAAAAATGACAAGGTGGAGGGGGGGCTTTTGTCCGTATCCCGTATCAGTCAACAGGACACTCTTAGACTAATGTATTATATTTCTTAGTTAAAGCTGCACGCCTCCAGATAATCCAAAATATTTCAAGAAATTCAATCTTTAAAGAAAATGTATTAAAATCTTAAAATAAGTAGCAAAATTCAATGGCTTATTAATTCTTTATGTGTTATGTGTGAGTAATGACTGATTTTGCAGTATCAATCACTATATTACTACTGCGTTACTTAAATGCAGTTAGTTAGTAAGTAAGTAAGTTATAAGTAAGTAAGTAAAGTCTTTATTTACTGAGGCTACACATTTGGTTTCCCAATCTTCCATGTGGGCCTCAAAACATAAATATACATAAAAAATAAATAATTTACATCATGGTTATACAGCGAAATTTTCAAATAACATACATGAAAACACAAAATGCATTATATATACATGAAAACAACAACAACAGAAAACAATGTACACATATTCAATACATAGTTACATACCTTACTTAGCAAGATTAAGGTACATTGTACTTATGTGAAATTCCAACTGATAAAGGAAGTTTGAAATTTCCCAATTAGTTTCAGATTTACGTATAGAATGAGGGATATTATTCCATAGTTTAGGGCCTGAATATGTCAGAGATTTTCTAAAAATTTCTTTTTTAGGTTGTGGCACAAATAAGATAAGAGGTATTTATGTATATTTTGACCTCTTTTTGGTAATAAATGTGGATTGTAAGTGCCGTTTGCAATGTATTGATTACTTTCTTTGTTCACTTCACAATATTTTACATTTAATGACATTTTCAAACTTTTCATGAAAATTAGCATGAATCTGGCATGCTGCTTTAAGTCTTACATAAAGAAAAATCTTTTATTAACTAGTAACAAACGCTATACTAAATTAAATTTTACTGTTTGCATGATAACTTTTATTCTATTTAAACTACATGTAGGTCAGGAGAAAAAAAATCACTTTAGTTTCCAAGTTGTATTTACTTATATTACATGACTTATATCTACTGATATATATTGAAAAGTTCATATTGTATGTACAAGCATTACGTTAATTTTCATGAAAATTTTGGAAATGTATTTAATAGTAAAATATTGTGAGATGAACAAATAAAGTAATTAACATATTGCAATAAGCACTTACAATCGTGAATCCAAGAAAATTACCAAAATGTGGTCATCATATACTAAAGCAGCCCTCACTGCTTTAGTAACACAGTAGAAATACCTTGATAAAATACTGCAAAATCAGTGTTAAACCGCGCATAACTGGGATCTTGAATTTTTTAACCTTTCTTAACAATTTAAAGTATTTTTCTCAATACTGATTTTCTTGAAAATTTTTGGCCATGCAGCTTTAAGTGTGTGAACTTTTTTACCTACTTGATAATGACCCAAATCTGTATACTTTTCATGAAGAGTTTTGTTTTCTGTAAATGAGGAAATCAAGTACAGTTTGTAATAATTCAATGAGTAAACAATTATACTCTCAGGTATCTCAGGTATCAACAATATATTTCTCATGCACTCTTCTTACTTAATAGACATAATTGAATTACCATGATGATTTATCATATCACATACTTCTAAACTTTACTAGGCACCAAATGTTTATCACTTTATCATGAAATGTGAAAAAAAGGGACCTATTATTATTTTACATAGTTTTATTCAGCAATGTTTTGAGATAGCCTCTGACTTAAATACAAGATGTGTTTATTGCATAGTTTTCGCCATATGGTCAGTTGAGTATTGCACCCCCAGTTTTTCTGTAACTTTTAGTAGTAGCATCATGTCATTATTGTCCTGATACATCTGTATTACAAATTTACATGTATGGTCATTCAAAGGTCAAACTTCTTTACATTGGTCACTATACAATAAGACAGCATTTGAGAGAAGCAAAGATTGTGGAGGGCTGTAGGGCATCATAAACCATGAGGTTGGTGTGGTGCTTTGAGTTCATCACACTATTAGAATTTCATTGACTGGTCACCTCCACCAGACCTGTTTGGAATGGACAGGGCTTTTTTCACAGGTTGGGGACTTTTTTTAGCAGCCCTGCCCTTAATTTTGGAAAAATTACAAAGTCAATTTGGAAAAGCGGAAGAAAAAACTTGATGTAAATTTAATTTTTGGGAAAAACAGCATGATTTTAATGAATTTTTCTTTGGGGAAGCAGCCCTGTAACAGCCCCTGCTATAGCCTGGGATTCAGGCGTTGATATTTTTTTTGCTTATTCATAACTTACGCGCTATTTCATGCTCAATCGTCATAGATAACACAACATCTCTGGTTTTGATAGTATCAAATAGTGTCGATTTGCCGAACAGAAGCACATAAAAAATTGACAGACTGGAACCCAGGCTACCCCTGCTATGAAGGGAAAAAAGCCCTGATGGGAGATGGAGCATGTTATGAGGGCCAAATAAAACTGGAGACATATTCTCTTCTCAGATGTGTCTAAGTTTTGCCAGAAATAATGCCTGGGTCCAGAACAACCACTTTGGGGGGTGGGTCAGTATGGGGAGGCAATTCACCTGGAACAGACTGACACTGTTGTGTTAAATAGAGGTACAGTGACCGGTATATTGATAACATGTTAGACACATGCCCTGAAAGCCACAATATGTTTAAATGAATACTATGAAAGAAAGTTTATACAAAATAGTCTGACGGTCAGTTATTTTCAAAGTTAGGTCTTCTCATTGGATGAAAAGGTGAGCAAAGGCTAAATTAGAATAAACGATCATTTAGCTAAATGTTCTATTAACTTGACAATAAAATGAATGAAATCTGATGTTTTGATTTAAAAATGTCAAGTTACTTCACCAAATTTTAATAATATATAATTCACATGTTGTTCATGTTTTCTAACAAGACATAATGTTTGAAATTGTCCAGTAATAAAAGGAAAAGTTCATTTGTGTTTTACATCACCAAAAATCTGTAGTTAACAATGACTGACAGCTACATCATATAACATTTCTAAGTTAAGTACAGCATCTCTCTATGGACCATACACACTGTCAATTCTGAGTCATACATTATATGTTGTACAAGTCTTGTCATAATCCTAAAGTAATTTACACGTAGAAAAAGTCATTTGAAATTTAAAAATGTCAGTTACATAACTAATATGCCTACATGCTGTCTGCAATTATTTTCTAATTGCATGATAAAATGAGCACAGCAAAAGTGCATAACATGTGTTTGTAATGAAGTACCTTGTTTCTGTAGCTCCAGTTTAGTAAGTACACTTTGAAGAGTTTTAATTTCTCCTGCAAACAGCCATAATTAACTTTTCAGTAATCTTGGCAAGCATTGAAACAATTAAAGTCATTCAGAGGATATATATACACCTGACCTCACTTACTTTGCACTCAACATTTTTTTGTTATTGGATTTTTTTTTAATGCTGTAGTGTTTTTTATAATGATGATTATATATCATTACAAAATATCACCTGATGTATTTTTTTTAAAGTTTATATCATATTACAGTTAGAGCAATGGTTTTCTGTGATTAAAAATACACTTAACATTTATATGATGAATAATGATACTTTGTTCTAGAACAATTTACATAAAACGTCAATCACAAATGTATTGTAAACAGTTGATTAAAAGCTTCTAGCTTTAGTTGTGTCCCCTAGTTAATCAAATGCCATTTACTTCCTGTCTCAGCTGTACAGGTTTTTTTTAAGACAATAAGACTTGAATGCTATTTTTTAATGTGTTAAAAGAATAAACCTCTATACCCGTCAATGCAATAGCTTGAAGGTATATCAGTTGATATAAAATATTTTAATTGTTTGAATAATAAGTTTGACAAAGAGCGAATATCATTACAACAATACTTTAATGTACAAAATCATCAAATATTCATAAAGTATGTAAAACATCGTTTCAAATTAACTAATTATTTTTTTCTTTTTCATGATTTCCAGTGTTTTAAACGGAGGATATTGAATGAGTGTTACAGTTCAATACTGAATTTATTGCATGAGTTGAATACAATTATATTACGCGAGTCTCTGGCGAGCATAATATTATTTTATTGAACGAGTGCAATAAATTCAGTAATGTCAACTTACACAAATTTAATATTCTATTTGTCACATACCCAAAATAAAGATTGTTTAAAGTGAAATAAGAGTCGTTTTTCATTGACGCGCCTATAGTTTAACGCTAACATTTAGCGCGTCTTTACACTATGCTTGTATAACGCTAATGACATCAGGTCAAAATATATGCACGGCTGTGCAATACCATATTTACAAAGTCCCAAAATCAGCACGGGTGTGTGATAATGTATATCATATGATTATATTCTGATAAACCACTAGTGAAATTAATAAAATATAATTTTCACTGTAGCTGGACTATATCTGAATGTGGATGAAAAAAAATCATAACTAAATGGAATAGCAGGCACAGAAATAAATGCCGTCATGCATAAATTTTGCTTCTTTAAAAAAAGAAAGTCGATGTCATTATACATCATGTTAAAAATGTAACAAAATAAGATTTAACAGAACTATATTTCATTATTGATGATGTTATGTCATGTGATGACGTCACAAAGGAATATGCGCGACATTACGCGGCAAAATCAGTAAAAAACTAGAAATGTGTCCATAGGACACGGGTGCCCCCACCGCCCCACTGTTCTGTCAATCTTTTTACTAAGTCAAGGGAAATAACTCTACAAATATTTGATAAATCCACAAGCGAAACCCCAGGTGCAAATCTAAAATATGCTGAGCAACCTTCCCATAAGGTTTAATGACTATGTCAAATCCAAGTTGAAAATTGCAAAAATTTTCTAAGTGAAGGGCAATAACTCTAAAAATACTAAATAAATCCAGACAAAATACCTGGTGCACAACTGCACATGCTGATCAATATTTCTGTAAAGTTACATGACTCTAGGTCAAATACTTTTTGAGTTACGTGCGACACATGTTGAAAATTGCCAAATTTTACTAAGTCAAGGGCAATAACTCTGAAAATACTAAAAATATCCACATGAAAATACCCAGGTGCACAACTACATATGCTGATCAACATTCCTGTAAAGTTTCATGACTCTAGGTAAAATTCTTTTCGAGTTACGTGCGACACAAGTTGAAAATTGCAAAATTTTACTAAGTCAAGGGCAATAACTCTGAAAATACTAAAAATATCCAGACGAAAATACCCAGGTGCACAACTACACATGCTGATCAACATTCCTGTAAAGTTTCATGACTCTAGGTCAAATATTTTTTGAGTTACATGCGACACAAGGCTGAAAATTGCAAAATTTTACTAAGTCAAGGGCAATAACTCTGAAAATACTTAATATATCCAGACGAAAATACCCAGGTGCACAACTACACATGCTGATCAACATTCCTGTAAAGTTTCATGACTCTAGGTCAAAAACTTTTTGAGTTACATGCGACACAAGTTGAAAATTGCAAAATTTTACTAAGTCAAGGGCAATAACTCTGAAAATACTAAAAATATCCAGATGAAAATACCCAGGTGCACAACTACACATGCTGATCAACATTCCTGTAAAGTTTCATGACTCTAGGTCAAATACTTTTTGAGTTACATGCGACACAAAAGTGAACGGACGGACGGACGGACAAGGGTAAATCTAAATGCCCGCCACTAAGGTGGGGGCACAAAAATTAAAATCACTTAAAAAGCATGAAATAAAATGAAAATTTATTTGCCTTACATGTAAGATTGTAATATATTTTATTCATGAACACCAGCTATTCTATTTTTACTTGTGGTTACGCCACTCGTAAAAATATTGCATCTGGTGTTTACTCAGTGAAATATTATTTCAATTTCACATGCAAAACAAACAATAATTATCCTCTATCTGTTAGAACTGCATATAAGGATCAATGAGTCAAACAAAAATAATTTAAATTCAGTGTGATATCTCATTAAACAAAAGACATTTCTCAAGATAATATCATTCTAAAAGTGTTTTACAAAAACAAATATCTCCACATTCCTGCACAGCATGTCAGATTTTCTAAATACTGATCCAATTTTCCTGATTGAAAAAAAATCTGAGAGATGAGCTTTTAAATAATTCATGAAAATACAAGGCATTTTTTGAAAATGTGGCACCTCAGAAAATGTGTACTGCAAAATCATTTATCTTTGTCAAAATAAAATTTTGTGCATACTGTGAGCAATGGTAAGCTTGCTAATTTTTTTTATTTGCTGTTTACAAAATTTAATATTAGATTTTTCATCTTTAGTACACTATAAACATGTATATCCAGAATGCAGGAATGTGAAACAAGAGCCGGTTGAACTGGGTGATGTTCCCCAAATAGGTTTTGGACACAGAGAAGTAGTTTCTTGTTGATATATCTTGTAGAATCAGAATTATGTCCCGAACAAAGTTCACAGTGTAAAAATTAAAGAAAGGCAATAACTCTAATATTAGGCAAAGTAGAGTTATGGTTCCAATGCATTGCACTTCTACTTAATGAGGTCTATCTTATCTATACACTTTCTTGTTGATACCTATAGTAGATTCATGGTTAAGTCACAGTGTAAAAATGAAGAAAGGGCAATTACTTCAAAATAAGGCAAGACAGAGTTTCAAAATTATGTCCCGGTTCAAAGAGTAAAAATTAACAAAGGGCAAAAACTCCAAAGTTAGGCGAGGCAAAATTAAGGTTCTTTCATTAGCACTTTTACTTAATGAGATCTCTCTACCTACAAAGTTTCGTGTTGATACCTCTTGTAGTTTCAGAGCTTAATGTCCCGTACAAAAAAAGCAGACTGACAGATGGACATGCGACCAAATTGAGATAAAGGGCCATATCTATTGTTATCAGACGCTGCATTTAAATTTTAGTCTTTTTTTTGTGTATTTTTTGTTTTTGTTTTAACAAAATCACACTGTTTTCAAATTTTCTAATAAAAATAGCTTTTCTGATGTACAACATGTTTCTGATGTACAACCTTTAACTGAAGTGATAGTGCCATGTTTGAATATCATATTCTTTTTATCATCATCTTATTTACCTAATTAATAACGTGTCAATGAGCCAGCCTAAAGTCTAATGACAGGAACAAAATTCAGACAGGGAAAAAGGGGTATGGCTAAAATATGCAATGGAGATTTTTTGGGTGCTACGCAAATATTTTTTTGCATAACAGGCAAAACATCTGCTTATCCATGAAAATAATTACCATTAACTTATAAAACAGTTTCACTGAGCAAAAAAAGTAATTTTGTTTCAATGTATCACATATATTTGGAATAGGTTATTTTGTCTAGATAATTTATTATATTTAGTGGTTCTTAGTTTAATATCAAATTCCAGGCAAATATGCAATCTTGTCTTTTATCAAGTAATAAGTAAACAATATGTTACTAAAAATTGATTTTATTGAAGAATTTATTCATTACTATTCTTTGATATTACAGATATACTTTTGCTATTTGTAAAATAACAGAACATTTCGTCCTCAAAGTCATTCAAACATTCTGCAATATTTAAATGGGCATAATTATTATCAGTGCAATGGAGATATTTTTCTTTACCTCTGTCTTTGTACTGAAATTACTTTAAGAAAACCAATCATTTCAATTTTACTTGTTATCCAATTTATTTTGCTTCGACCAGACCTTTCAAACATTTCAGTATTTCAGACATGGCATTATTTTGTGAATTGATGCATTTCTACTTTTTTACAAAAATACGCAACTTAATTATCAAACAATGAGCACATCCCAAGAACATGCAGAAAAGATTATTAGTGTTTCTGATATTCAACTGTTATAGATAACAATTGTCAAGTCTGATTTTGTACATGACCTGTGACTGTTCACATCATTTGGCAGCATCTTTGATGTGCAGCATCAACATTTAACTTGTTTTTATTTTGTTTAGTAGAAGGCCATTAGCTCCATCCTCTATTGTTACCGTATAAACTCTATTGTCCTCTTTTGTTTTGATTACAGTTAGAAAGCCCCATATCCATATTCTGTAGTGCAGACGTATTCTGTAGTGCAGACGGACAGATGTTTACCCGGACAGGCAGACAAAGCGGCGACTATTTAATATTAAAATTGCGCACAATTTGGTAGAAACAAGCAACAAGGTTAGTAAGCATATCAATATATCTAAATGTAACTCAAATTAAAGATTAAACAAGAATGTGGAATGACACATATGACCCCCACCCCCTTCTAGCCCTTGACTCATATCATTGGTAATTGTATTATAGGAACTTGCCATAAATTGGTACATGGAAGTGCTCAGTTATGGAAAAAAGAAAAAATGACCTACTAGTTATAACCAATCAATATGAGAAACATGAAGACCTTGACCTTTGAACTTGTGACCCCATTATGACTAATCAATATGTGAAATATGAAGACTTTGTGAAAAATTTTCAAGGTAAAATCAGAAACCAATCTTACATTTAAGGCTGCTGTTACCTTGACCTTTGAACTATAGTAATCCCAAAATCTATAGGTCATCTACAACATATTGCTATTCAATATGTGAGATATGAAGACTGTGATAAATAGTTTTCAATATAATGAACAGTAACCATTCTGACATTTAAGGCCCTTGTCTGGATCCATGCTGGTCACAAACGCATAATTGGTTTTGTCATGATGCGGCTCATATGTTCCTTTACACTATGGGATCTTATATTTACATAAATTTACCTGCTTGAGCTGTCTCTAAGGTTTCACATTTTTGCTGTAATTGTTTGTTCTCCTGGAAGAGTTTATCTAACTGTAAAATTTGTTTTTCTTGTCTGATTAACTGTTTCTTCATTACATCAGTTTCTGATGTAGCTGTGTCCCAACTTGACTGTAGTTCTCTGATCTTTGACTGTATCTCTTCCTTTTCTTCAAAAATAAGTTAAATTACCTCTCAATGACAGAAATTATATAACACAGACATTGTAGCTATTTTCTACCAGGGTAATAATGCCTGATTCCTTACTTCAACTCATATAAATGCTGACACATAACAAGGAAATAAACATGCTTGTACAAATAGTTGACATAATTGAAGCATAAAGGGGCATATTATGCCTCAGCAAATTTTGACTTCTTATAAAAGGGGCAAACATTAGGTTTATATGTATGAATTTTATATGAATTTAAATAATGGTTTTTAAGAATGTTAGATGCTTCTTACCTGATTGACCTTGATTGTCAAAGTTGTTAAAAGGTCAAGGTCAGTTCAATAAAAACATAGTTTGTGTTATGCCTTATAATAAGATGGTTTGTGTTATGCCCTATAATAAGATGGTTTGTGATATGCCCTATAATAAGATGGTTTGTGTTATGCCCTATAAAAAGATTGTTTGTGGTATGTCTTATAATAAGATGGTTTGTGTTAAGCCCTATAAAAAGATGGTTTCTGTTATGCCCTATAAATAGATGGTTTGTGTTATGCCCTATAATAAGATGGTTTGTGTTATGCCCAATAATAAGATGGTTTGTGGTATGCCCTATAAAAAGATGGTTTCTGTTATGCCCTATAAAAAGATGGTTTGTGTTATGCCTTATAATAAGATAGTTTGTGGTATGCCCTATAAAAAGATTGTTTGTGGTATACCTTATAATAAGATGGTTTGTGTTAAGCCCTATAAAAAGATGGTTTGTATTATGCCCTATAAAAATATTGTTTGTGGTATGCCCTATAAAAAAACGTAGTTTGTGTTATGCCTTATAATAAGATGGTATGTGTTATGCCCTATAATAAGATGGTTTGTGTTATGCCCTATAAAAATATGGTTTGTGTTATGCCCTATAATAAGATGGTTTGTGTTATGCCCTATAATAAGATGGTTTGTGTTATGCCCTATAATAAGATGTTTTGTGTTATGCCCTATAAAAAGATTGTTTGTGCTATGCCCTATAAATAGATGGTTTGTGTTATGCGGTTTGTGTTTTGCCCTATAAATAGATGGTTTGTGTTATGCCCTTTAAAAAGATTGTTTGTGGTATACCCTTTAAATATGTGTTATGCCCTATGAATGTGTGGTATGTCCTATATATAGATGGCTTGTCTTTCAATTTGTGTTATGCCCCATAAATAGGTAGTTAGTGTTATACCCTTTCAATGTTGTTTTGGCTATGTATGTTGTACTGTTAGTTTCAAGATAACTTATATAAATAAGAGAACATCATATTTTTTTCATGTAATTGTGGAAATATTTTATAATTTTTGTACTGATATGTCCTGTACACATTTCAACATTAATATGTGGTGTGTCTTCCACATTGTTTTAAGAAGCCATACAATCTTGCATGACACCTTTGATATGTTTATAACTTTATATTTACATCAAATGTTCCCTTTATCCAATAAAAGTACCTATATGTTTTAAATAGCTTCAAATCAGCATTACATAATTCAAACAACTTGTGTTTGTTTTGTTTTTTTCACTAAATTACAAGTTATGATATATATTTTATCTGTAACCTAACTTCCATGTGTAATCTTTTTGTTCTGATAAAACTATAATAACATTTTTTTAATTTGCATTTTGATATATAAATTGACATTAGCTTACCTTTTATTTCACTATCACATGTAGATTTAACATGTGATAACAGTATACTAAGTTCTTCTTTCATCTGGACATCTCTCTTCTCCATAAATGTATGAATCTCACTTAAAGACATTTTTTGTGAGTGTAAAGCTGACTTTAAGTTTGGAAGTGTTCGTTCTAGATGATTATTTCTTTCCCTACAGTACAAATACAAGACAAATGAACTCTGCTTGTCATAAAACAGTTGATTAATAAAATTCTTAAGTAAGAAATGTTTTAACTTAATACTTATAGCTTAAATTCTTCTGCTTTGTATAAACAATCTATTCTAAACTGTGAAGAGGTATGGTAAACTGTCAATTTGTTCATTTAAGAAGTATGACATGCAATTACATGCCATATTTCCAGCCACCCAGATAGGGGGATTTGTCTGTAAAAAGCAGGGGATTTGGAAAGTCCAACTAATTGTACTATTCGATTAGATATAGTGATATTTTGTGTATGAGCAATATCTCCCCTATAGAAGCAAACTTCTGACCCAGAACAAAAATATATCAGAATCTAGCTTTAGCACATCAATATATTTTGACTAAGGATTTAGACTAAAAATAGGCGGATTTTTAGCACGGGAAAACCAGTTGTAATTTTTTATAATATGTAAATAAATATATATATATATTAATCTGCAAAGAATTCTTAATGGAAATATCGATAATGCAGTTTGATTTCCATTTTCACTTTAAAATGTTTAGCAGGTTTATTTTTATTTTTATTGAAAAATTTACAGTTCTAAATGAAACTTTGTTTTGTTCCTTTTCTTTGTTTCAACTTTAAATCCCCTCTTAATGTTTGGTAACCGTGATACAACACCAGGGCCGGCAAAATCAATTGTCCGTATTTCCCAGGTTGTCCCATAGCCTGTACGGAAAAGTGAAGATTTTTAAGAATTAACTATGTAAATATCATACGGGCAAGTTTCAAATGCTACACATAAGAACGGACAAGTAAGTCAAAATCAGATTTTGCCGGCCCTGCAACACTAGATTCAAACTCTGCAAATCTTTGATACTTTGAGTTCCTTGAATGTTAGATAACTTGCCTATTAATTATTTTTTATCTAAAGACATTGCATAATTCCTTACTTTAATCTACTTCAAAAACAAAACACCAACACCTCATTCAAGGGGGTGTTACATGTCCTAAAATATTGAAACGTCATCCAATTCTATATCAGATATTGTCATTGGTTCAGCGCCTGCAATACTGACACTGATTGACAGGATCATCGACAGAGAATTATGTCATGCATGGTTAGATAAAATTCCTTTCTTAATTCGTTGACAGCTATTGAAAGTAATTAAAGTCTGTCTGAGTAATTATCAACTAGCACGCTGTCATTTTTAGAGACGATGTATAGACTGGTATATGTGCTTATTATACTAAGTGTATCGTAAAATAATGTTTTATTGGTAACAATTCTGCTTTTAATTTTTTGTTAGTTGGATTCTTGAAAATTGGGGGAATCTGATCCCATGGCGGGAGATCGGTGGACAAGCCTAAAAATCGAGGGATTTTGTCCCCCAGTGGGAGATATTACATGTATGATTATTCTGTACTAATAACTTAAAATCTCTCTTCAAATACATAAAATAGTTGAAAAAAATCAAAATGTTGCTTAAAGATAGTCCTATTTTGACACTTTTTCTACAATCATTTAGTATTGAAACTACACAAATATTACATTATCATATATGCAAAATAAGAACAATTTACATTAAAGAGTCATTTATCATTAGCATGCGTTAACGCTTTGTTTGTATGTTTATCATCATGTTTATCGTCACACCAAATTGTTACTACACTACTGTAATATCTGTTATTAAATGGCTTTATTACACTCCTAAGCCTTGGTTTATGTGATAAGGAAGTATATTCTTATTTTGCAAGGTTATTCTGTAGACTTGTAATCAAGTTCTATTGCTCTGATATGTATTTGGAGTAAATTGACAATATGATGCTTTAAAGTCATGAAAAATTGCTACCAGTTAACCATAAATTTCAATAAAAGATGTTTCTACAATTTTATGGATGCCCTTTAAACATAAATATCAATGACATGTGTTTAAAGTTACAAACTTACTTGAGACTTTTATTTGCATTTTCTACTTTCTGTAACTTTTCTATAATATCATCTTTCTCATTGCGTAGACGTTCACATGTTCCCTCAGAATTCTTTAAGTTATTTGTAAGTGTAGATATTCTGAAAATTCACAGTGAAAACATGACAAATCATAAACTTTTTTACATGACCAATGTAAATTTTACATAACCCATGTGTGTTTTACATGACCGATGTAAATTTTACATGACCCATGTGTGTTTGACATGACAAATGTAAATTTTACATGACCAACGTGTGTTTTGCATGACCAATGTGTATTTTACATGACCAATGTAAATTTTACATGACCAATGTGTGTTACATGACCAATGTGTATTTTACATGACCAATGTGAACTGTTAACATGGTCAAAATGTTTTGTAATATATGTTTATGTATGAGCATACATATATTTAATAAATCATGCCATCACGTAAACATGTCCACCAAAATACACTGACAGACTTTGAAAATGCATCAGTTCGGTTTATGCTTTTTTTTTTTATAAGAAAGAGCATGTTCAATTTCTAAAAATGTTTACATACTGAAGGACACATGTGTCTTTAATTCTCCTTTAAAACAATTGCTTATATAAATAAAAAAAACCTCAATAATAGAGGCAGTGACAGTAACAGTTTTTAAATTGAGAATTACAGACATATATGTCCTTTAGTATGCAAAAATATTGAAAAGTCGAATATGCTCTTCCCATTAAAACAAGGAAAAACCCAACTGATGTATTTTCAAAGTCTATCAGTGTATATATTGTACATGATGATGAAGCAGTGTTCATTCCCTGTGCAAGTCATATAATGAATCTGAATTATATTTATTCAGATTCATGAACATTTTTACATTCAAATGTTGAACAGAAAATGAAATTAATAAAAGTAATTTCAGCAATTTTATACAAGGAAACATTTATTTTAAGACATGATATTTTCACTCAGTATACTCACGCAGCGTCTTTAACTGTTAAATTCATCTCGAATTCTCCCCTTTCATCTTGTAACACTTGTAGTTCTTTTTTCAGTTTATTTTCTCTGTCCTCGCAACCTGCATGATGTTCTAATTCTTTCTCAAGGGCTTTAAGCTTCTTCTCTAATGCCTTTATCTCACTATGTATGAGATAACTCACACCACAATATCTAAAAATATACGAGCCGCATCATGACAAAACTAACATAATGGTTTTGCGACCAGCATGGATCCAGACCAGCCTGTGCATCTGCGCAGTCTGATCAGGATCCATGCTGTTCGCTATCAGTTTCTCTACTTGTTATAAGGTTTGTAAGCGAACAGCATGGGTCCTGATCAGACTGCACAGATACGCAGGCTGGTCTGGATCCATGCTGGTTGCAAACCCATTATGTTGGTTTTGCCATGACGCGGCTCATACACTTAAACATAAAACAAACAAATGGAATGTAATACTCTTGCTTACTGTTAAATTACTGTTAAACTACTGTAATAAACTTGCTTACTGTTTAATTACTGTTATTTTCATCTGCTAATGGTCAACATTATATTTTTCCAAAATGAGCTCAAAAATGCTGCAGTTAAACTGTTCACATAAGTAAGAAATGGAATTACAATTTGGATGTATGAAAAGCAAACCAGCTATCACACCATTAATGTTTAAAGACATAATTTTAGCTTCTTCATGATTGTAAATATTTATTTCAATAGTTTAGTGGCAAGAAGATAAAGCGATAATTATAACACTGTTATAACTTTCACTCTTGTTTTTCTTTTGCCATAGGTTTGATCCAATCTTTAATAGCATTGATGATTGATATACTTTGGGATATGGAAAAAAGAATAAAACCACTTAGTTGAAATTTATTTGTTTTAAATTGGTCTAAAATTCTATTATGCATGGTACAGTACCTGCACACTGTTTCATCTCTGTCCATTTTTTGTATAGCCTCTGGGAGAGGGTGCTGAGGCGTAAAACGCCCCTTTATATCTTCAGGCTCAACTTCAGACATTTTGATTTATTGACCACTAAAAACTATTAAGTGACCTGAAAGAAGAATACAGAAATAATTCCAAAATGAAAACAAAGTAAATGTATCAATTCAAAGCTGAGAATTTATATATGATATAACTAAATTGTAATAACAGACAGTTAGTATTTCTGTCTTGTGAAAATTTTCATTCCTAAGACTAATTAGGCCAGTATCATTATTATAATTTTTTGTCCTCTATGTTTATATGATGCTATACGATAACTATCCAAGTTGCATCGTCATATTCTAAACCTTTAAACGTTATTTATAAACAAGCAATTATCATAGTATTGCAAGCAATCCATAAGTCCCCTACCGGTAAGAGCCCAAGCAACATTCTGAAGGGCCATTCACTTAGGTTCCTATTTTAAGTAAATTTGTTGAAAAAGTTCTTTAAAAGTGATCACAGGAAACAGTTTTTATGTACAGACAGACGGACTGAAAGACACTCTAAAGTTATTTTTTAAACATCCCTGTTATCAAAATATAACATTTTTAAAATCCTATCATGATTGTAGAAGTTGGAGTAAAAATTACCAATTTCTCAAAAAAAAGTCTAAGTTCAAAAGGGGCATAATTCTGGAAATAGTCTTGCTAGAGTATTGAACACTCACAAAATTTAATGTTGAGTGATAATAAGAAACATTTATATGAAGTTTGAAGTAGATACATTCAGAAAAAGAAGTTATTAAAAAAAAAACAATGTTTTTTTCATGAAAATTTAAAGTTCAAGGGAGGTAATTCTGAAAAATTCTGTGCTAGAGTTGTAAACCTTGTCACATATGATGTGGTTGATGACAAGCAACTTATATTTAAAGTTTGAAGAAAATACCTTAAGAAATAAAGAACTTATAGTGAAAAAACTTAAAAACTAGAACCAGAAATCTTGAAATTCAGTCTATTTGTTGCCATAGCAACCAGAATTTTCAACATAGGAAGATAAGAAAAGGATGTGCATAATTTCCATACTGCCATCTACCCATATGTCAAGTTTCATAAACATATTTTCAGTACTTTTTGTGTTATCACTGGATCCAGGTTATGTGTAAAATTTGCCATATTTTCAGTCTATTTGTTGCCATAGCAACCAGAATTTTCAACATAGGAAGAAAAGAAAAATACATGCATAATCTCCATACTGCCATCTATCCATATAACAAATTTCATAAAAATATTTTCAGTACTTTTTGCGTTATCGCGGGATCCAGGTTATGTGTAAAATTTGCCATATTTTCAGTCTATTTGTTGCCATAGCAACCAGAATTTTCAACATAGGAAGAAAAGAAAAAGACGTGCATAATCTCCATACTGCCATCAATCCATATATCAAGTTTCATTACAATATTTTCAGTACTTTTTGCGTTATCGCGGGATCCAGTTTTGTGGACGGACGGACTGACGGACGGACAGACGGACGGACGGACAGACAGACAGACAGACGGACGGAGGGTAAACCTAAAGTCCCCTCCGGTAAACCGATAGGGGACTAAAAAGTTTAAAATTAGGACACAATAATTACTTTCCATGATTTTTTGTTAAAACAATTAATGGTCAATGTTTTATATTTCTATATGGGCAAGTAAAGTTAAGGTGCAGTCAAGTATACATTTCTGTCCAAACTTGTCCATGGGCAAGTTGCAAGAATTCATATTTCCATATCCATTAACTAATGGTGGATAAATGGATGGATGGATGGATGGATGGATGGATGGATTTATTAAAGATAGGATACAATAGGATAAGAAAGATAGATAAGATAGATAAGATAGATAGATTTCCTCCATTTAGAAGAGCATAAATTATCATATGTACAAATATAATATAATCAAATATTACAAACAACAGATTTACATGTAACAGTTATGATATTGACATGGTTACATACTTATTTATACATTTGGTAATCTTATTAGGTTTAAGAAGCGGATATTTGCAACCATTACAAACAAATGATAGTTAAACGGAATTATTACACTTTATCACACACCCGTGCCGATTTTGTGACACTCTTGACCTTGTAATAACAAATCTCCCTAGCAAAGTACAGCAAGTAACTACAATGCCCGGCATATCTGACCATGACACGGTCTTCGTTGAACTTGACCTCAGCCCTGTCACCCACACGAGACAAACACCCCGGAAGATCCCACTATACAAGAAGGCTAGATGGGATAGCATGAAGGAAGACATGGCAACACTCCACCAAACAATCAAGTCTATGGTGGAAAACAACACCGACATCAACACTATCTGGGACAAATTTACAACTACACTGAAAACAAGTATACAACAACATATCCCCCACAAAACTGCTAGGCCAAGAGAAACATCACCATGGATTGACAAAAGCATCAAAAGACTTATTCGAAAACGTGACCGTCTCCATAAGAAAATGAAAAAATCTCAAGACAAACAACATCAAAGAAATTACAAGACCTGCAAACACTTAGTGCAGAAGAAACTCCGACAAGCCTACTGGACATATGTCGATAATATTGTAACGCCACAGCCTTCAGATCCAAACATACACAGCAGTCAGAAACGTTTTTGGACCTTCATAAAACACAAGAAGAAAGACAATCAAACAATTACTGGACTAAAAGAACATGGACAACTCCACTCCTATCCTTAGTCCAAAGCTAACATTCTAAATCAGCAGTTCAAATCTATATTCACAGACAACATCAAGATCACTGCTGATGACTTCAAGAAGGGGGACTACCTCAATCCACAATCAACACATCCTGTAGCCCCTGAAATATCGATAACCACAAATGGAATCACCAAACTCCTTCTCGCACTGAACCCACATAAAGCTGCAGGACCCGACACCATAAGTCCTCACATCCTCAAGGAATTGGCAACTGACATCGCTCCAATACTCAACACCATCTTCACTCTGTCACTTGAAAATAGCACCATCCCTAATGACTGGAAGAAAGCCAATGTATCCCCAGTCTACAAGAAAGGCAGCAGATATAAACCAGAAAACTATCACCCTATCTCCCTAACGTGCATCTGCTGCAAGCTCCTAGAACACATTGTCACCAGCCACATCATGAATCATGCCGAAAAACAAAAGATTCTCTATTAGACCTCTCCAACACGGCTTCAGAAAGAGCAGATCAAGTGAAACACAGCTTCTTGAATTCACAGATGACATAACCCGGAACATGGAAAATGGCAAACAGACTGATGTTCTCATCATGGACTTCGCCAAGGCCTTCAACAAAGTTTGTCACAGCCTTTTATCCCACAAACTGGAGCACTACGGCATCAGAGGCAAGACCAACCTGTGGATTCAGGCTTTCATAAGCAACCGATCCCAATCTGTAGTCTTGGAAGGGGTAACCTCAGATACAGTGTCTGTAGAATCCGGTGTCCCACAGGGCTCAGTCCTTGGCCCGAGTCTGTTTCTTTTCTACATAAATGACATCCCAGAGGGTCAAAACGCAGTCATCCAACTGTTTGCAGATGATACGCTGGCCTATCTTGCCATCACAAACAAGTCTGACTGTTCCACCCTACAAGCTGACCTCGACAAACTAGCTGTCGGAAGAGAAATGGAAAATGTATTTCCATCCAGACAAATGCCAAGTCCTCACCATCTCCAAGAAAAGAAGCCCCATCTGCCATAACTACACTCTTTATAGTCATACTCTAGAGTATGTCACATCAGCTAAATACCTTGGATGAACCCTGAACCCTGGGGCCAACATATACATAACATTTGTAACAAAGCCAACCGTATCACCAGCTTCCTGCGAAGAAACCTCAACATCGCCTCTACTTCCACCAAACAAGTACCACAACAGGTCCAGCGTCACAGACATGCTTGCAGACCTTGAATGGAAATCATTACAAGAACGTCAAAAGGAGGCCAGACTGATCATGCTCTACAAAGTCATCAACAACAAGGTAGCTCTAGACAACTCATACCCTCCAACTCCAAATCTACAAGAAATTCACACAACCTAACCTACAAGATACCCTACTGCCGTACACAATACCGTCAACAATCCCCTTCCACGTACCATCAAAGACTGGAACAGCCTACCTCCAGATGCTACGTCAGCCGGTACAGTTGAGTCATTTCATACTCATCTGTCCCAACTCTATATCTAAACCACACTCTTGTCCGTTTTTAACCTGCACTGTATATATCACTCACTATTTTTACTCTTTCTTTACGTCTTGGGCATTAACCTGGCAGTAAACTTCAGTTAGTTGAAGGTGGCCAGTATAGAGTCACCGTACCAGTGCTCAACCAGTTTTTCACAAAATTACATAAAAACTCTTTCAGAATAAAAAGTTTGCTGGGAAAATTATTTTTGTTACAAAGCTGGCCCTTTCAAACTCACAATAAGCTTAAGCGTTTTAATTACACAGATCAGGATACAATTTACCACAGAGTTGTATATAGGGTATAAAACTACTATATTTTTCAGGCAACCAAACCAGTGCTCGACCAGGTGGTTTTATCTCTATCAGAACTTTTATTTTTTTAAAACAGATATGACTTTTTATGTTCAACAATTCTATTTCAAAAATATTTTGAAACATTTATGTTTTAGGGTCTATAAATGTTAATATGAGAACAAATATGATACGAAGGAAATGCTATACATTGACAAATAGTGTTTATAAGAGTTTTGGTATTTACATATACTGGGGTGTTTGAGATTACTTATTCTCATATTTTTCTTTACTAAAATCACTCTGCAAACATAGTTAAGTCTGATAATTGGTGTAATATACAAATGGTTTACGCTTTTAGTGGTGTGTTCCTGATTTGTTTCCGTACAGCTGCCATATTTGTTTACATTTTCATAGCCCCTGCCTTTTACGGAAAGCAAGGTCTTGATAATTTTTGAGCACATTTCCTATGGGAAATCATTTGGAATCATAAGAGTAAAGGCAATTTAACAAAGTATTGTCCACATTTGCCCTAAATTATCATTAGTTTAGTGTTTTAAATAGTTTTTACTGCTACTTTTATTATAGAATTGCATTTTGTACTGTTAAATATTGTCTGCAAAATGGCAAAACTTTTAACAAACTTGGAGTACTTGTACATGGTGTAGAGTTACAAGTCAGGTACAAATAGCACACACAAACTCCCAGGGTTTTTCCACTTTAATGCATAAATCGTAAACAAATAGAAGTATTGGTCGAGCATTGGGCTGGTCGAGCACAGGTACTGTGACTCTATTGGAAGAAGAAGAAAAAACATTGTTCTCAGTGAAAATGTTTTGACATTTAAAACTTTACTCCACCGGAGCTGGCAAAGTCAAAGATTTAATACAAGTGACATTTACTGAAGTTATCTTGATAATACTGTATAGGAGGAGCTTACAAGTCATCTTGGCTGAAATGCTCAGAAGAAGAAGGTAATCATGGTAAAGGTAGGATAGAAATGAAAACTGAAATATGATCGATAAATTTAATTATAACACTTCACAATATTATCACTTTTGAATATATGTTCTGATTTAACTTACTCGTTAATAACTACTTCTTCTATTTCATATTGTTGTCATTCAGGCTAACGTACGGTTAGCTTACTTGCTTACTCGAAATTCTATAGCTATATCAGCCATATTGAAACCAATGACAACATCCGGGGATTTTCGCTCGGAACTTAAAATACAGTACCATACTGTCGGAAAATCTCGCGGAAACCGCGGGAAAACCCGGAAAAGATCGTATCGAAAAGATAAAACCGCCTGCTATATCACATGTATCTTATACCTTATCCAATGTTTCAAGATCACAAAAAAGGATTTAGTTATTCTAATAGTTGAAAAGTTGTTAGTCCTATGTTAATTTTGTCCATTTTTATGAAATAAATTAACGAAAATAGTTTAATGCAAGTTATTTAAAAGTAACTTTAAATATCCTTGACATACTGCAGTAGATCTCAATTATAAAGTTTAAAAGTAACGTTTTACGAATAACTTTCGAGCCATTTATGCATTTATGTGCAGAAATATATGACGATAAGTTGTAACTTTGGAGGTATTGCATTGACTGGCTTTTTGAGTAAGTTTTCCTTATCGATATCATATAACAGAATAAGAAAATTTATACAATAGATACAAACAGAAGCCCTAAAGAGCCAAAACACGGCAAAATCGAAAATGTTGCTTGTTCGGTTTCATTGAGTATGTTCATGGACGGTACTGTTTAGTGCAAAAGACCGTCCACGCCCCTAGCTCCGGCTTAAGCAGAATTCAACATTTTAACAAAAAAATGGCGAAATTTTGTAATTTTGTTTAAACGAAGTAATGGTCAAAAGTTACTGATTCGTTGGATATTACCTTTATAGTTAAAAAATAAGAACGTCATTTAATCTTGAATTGGAGAAAATACATGTTGGTAATATAAAAATTTAAACAACAAATTCTACTTGTTTCGACTTTGATTCGAAATATGAACATGAACAACAAAAGGCGGCTGACAGTTTGACAACCATTGAACAAAAAAGCACTAAAGCATGCATTATCGGAGCGGTCCGGGTTTGGTGGTTGCGGTCGGTCTATTTACCCAAAGACACCCCAAGACAACCCCAAGACACTTTTACTGACATGTAAATATATCTCAGTTTTACCTTTTTTATGGGATGAAACTATGCGACTTAACATTTACAGATGAAATCTCTCTTCATTTATTTCATTGTATTTTTAATGTAAGATTATAAATATATTCTTTTTTGTGCAAACATTTTTACCATAATGAAATATATAATGCCAATGTTGCAGGATTTTGGTGTAGTGCAACTCAGCAAGTGTTTAATTCTGCGATAATGTCATTTTATGAGTGACACAATTTTGATGTTTGATTTTTAAGTGTCATAATATTGATTTTTTTATTTCATTTGCCCCACTTTTCATTAGATTAACATAGTCTTGTTTTTTCAGTAAAGTTAGTTTCAATCAAAATATTTCTTTTTTATATTAAAGAGAATATCAATAAATATTTAGTGATGAAAGAACTCCAAACATAATTAACAATATTTGATATAAAATAGACAGTAATTAACAAGGTGACACATAAATAATCAGTTGTCGTATATAATAACACTTGCCCACTTACCCAACAAATACAATATATAAGTTTTTTGGGGTATCTTGGTGTGTCTTGGGGTAAATAGACCGACCCTGATGGTTGTCCGGTTTTGGTGGTCCCCAACCAGTAAGCTAGATATAAACAGTAGCAAGACACTTCATTCCCCAGACACTTTACCCCTCAAATTTTAAAGACACTTCACCCCTCAAGACACTTCACCCCTCAAAATCAGTAAGACACTTCACCCCTTACTCATTTTTTTCTAGAAAGTAAATAAGCCGACAACATAATGCTTTATATGTTTATTTTGATTATTTAAGTATTATTTGATTTTTAGTTTTTCAATTAAAGGATAATCTACAGACATTTCTAAGAGTAAATATTTGTTAAGTAAATAATGCAGAAACAAAAAAAAACATGTTATAATTTATTTAACTCATTTACATAAAACAGGCAATAAAACATATTATTATTCAACAGTTATCTCATAATTGATTAGATAATTGGATTGAAAAGGTATTATTGTATGAAAAATAAATAAGTAGTAAATGAATAAATATTGTATGTAAAATAAATATATTAATGAATATTATTGTATGAAAAGTAAATGAATGAATAAATATAAAATAATGAATACAAAATGAATATAAAAGAATATGAATGAGTTTCTGTAGGAAGATAATTCAATTAGTGTTATCACTTCCACTTTAAACGAAATTAGTATAAAATATATTTAAATATGAAATAAAAAAAATAGAGAATTTACTTACTAATAACTTTTTGATACTTTTTTGTAGAGCAAAACAACAATATATCTATTGTCTTTCCCCGTAATCAATACGCTTTTACATTTTTATCTCTGATGAAAATATATAGTTAAAAACAACAGAAAACACATAATAAAAACAATTTATTTGAAACGAAATACATTATATACGAAAAACGATTAGCTTATATCAACACATTTTTCATCTAGAAAGATCTAATAATGTTAAGAAGACCCGGCACTGACCGGGCCAGTAAATATGATACTATTCGCCGGTCTCTCGTAAATTCCGGTCAAAATAGACCGGGAGAGACCGGAGACCGGAAGCGACCGGACCGGAGAATAGTACTTCCCCAATTTTGACCAATTTTAACACTAGTCATATGAAAATATGCAATCACCGTGAATTAAGTGATGAGGCGGAATTAGTGATGTTGAGTTTATACTTGATCACTTTTGAATACATTAAACATTTTCTACATAAATAATTGTTTAACACAAAATAAAAAAAATGGGGGGATCAAATTTCTTAAAATAAGCGGTGAACTGTCTGAGGTGTGAAGTGTCTGCAAAAAAGGCCTATGGTGAAGTGTCTGTAAACCTATACATGTATAAACAGCCGAAAAATCTTCAAAACAGCTGATCTATTTTTTGTGCGGAGTTTCTTAGAATTCAAACGTTTCTTTTATTTGATTAAGTAACACATTGATCGATTTTACTGCACAAGACGAAAATGAAAGAAGGACTGGAAACTGTTGGGAAATCAGTATATAAATTCGAAAATAAAATAAGATAAATTAACGGTTGCAGCAATATCATATAAAGTCACTGGTTGCATATAATCTACATACATTATATTTCGTATAAAGTCGCAATCATTTAATAGTACACTTAAACCCATTAGCTTGTTGTGTATGGTAATGGAATCTCACATTCGAAGTTTGACGGAAAGGCCGAGAAGTTGCGATTGTGTGAATTTTCCATGTTGCAAGCGATATACGGCGGATATACCTGTGCCCAGGTAAATATTTTGGTTATAGGTGTTTATCAGTGTTTATCAACGTTTAATTATTAACTTTGTAGGCCACCATAAGTCTATATGTGTTTGAGTTAATGTAAATAATGATATAAGTATCTAATTAATGGTGTTTAAACATGTCACATTGTAAAAAGCCAAAAGTAATGCAAAATAATTTTCAAGGTAATTGCGTCGCTGACATCACAGACACTTGGAGTATGGACCCCGCCCTTCTCCGCCCCTGAATATTAAAAACTAAAAGTATTGTTTATTACAAGAATAAGTTTTAAATTTGTGCTTATATTAGTATGAGACGGTTAAGTGTCTAACACATGAACAAGTTTGAATAGAATTTCATAACGTTTTAAAAAAAGTCAATTTTTTTCCAACGCTTCAATTTCCTGAAGATACCAAGCTTCCAAATGTAAACACAACTGACCTACATATATTTCAGGTATTCATGTTATCGCATGCCATTTATTTCTGGTGTAAATCAGTCGATGCATATATTCCTTTAATAAATAACTGCATGTTATTATCAGATCGTACCTTTCTTCCAAGCTTTGCACATTTAATTATATTTTCATAACTGAGTCACATGCTTTTTTACGAATTCATGACCACTGGAATGTTTCCCGTAAATTACAGCGGGAAAATCGCTGGGAAAAAGAAATTCAATCGCAACTACTCGGCCCTTTCCGTCAGTCTTATTGATTTGGTTTCTGTACTGATTAGGGGAAGTAACCGCTGCGGGGTTTTGGTTCTCGGCATGAAAATGAAAGCGCAAAACAGTGCCGAAACTCATTCCAGTCATCTCACATCAAAGGAAAGCGTACGTTGTTATCTTCATGAAATTATGGATATTCTAGGGACTTTTTTAAACGTGGTTAAAATAGCGGAAAACATGTTTTATGTTCAAGACATGTGACCGGGTCGTAATAATATGCAAAAATATTTTGACGTACGGTTTGCACGATAAAAATAGGCATAGTGTATACAAGTGCGGATCAAGAAGGGGAGCCACGTACATAACCCCAAGCGTCTGTGGCTGACATCAGACAACACACTGTGTTTTAGGGGCTGGTTACAGCGATTACTTCAGGTTGGTTTAACATAAATCATTTAGATATATCTCATATTACACAAAGACATTTTTGTTGCTGGTCAATATTTGATTTCGGTGCACACAGCGCTAAAAACTTAGTTATTAATCATGTAAATATAATTAATTTATGGATTTTTTTTCACATGATATTATTAAACTTTTGATTCAAATTTGAAAACAGACCATATCTTTAAGTTTGTATTGGAATTATCTTTCCAATGATATGTAACACAGGTGAACGTTGGGTGGCCATGACTTACACTATACCCCCCTTAATAACCCCTCCACAACCCAAAACCAAAGGTGTTTGGCGCGTTGATTGGTCACTACCCTCGGGCCTACCCCCCTCCCCCTTACCCACTCTACAACCCTCCTACCTCTCAAAACCATGTAAACTGTAGTATTTTTCATTTTAAACATGTTTTAATAGTTAGTTCATGCTTTTAATTCAATTACATTCATCTCCAACAATAAATAAAAAAATGATATAATATATATTTAGTAAAGGTATGCAACTCGCTGCTCATTTTTCAGCACTCATCTTAATATGAACTCCATAACTCCAACATTTTTTCACTAATTTTCAATATCTTGGTACCAAATAGTAGGGAATTGATTACTCTTAAAGGAATTTAAGCTGTCATTACAATCATTTCAAGTTTTAAGAAGATATGTAATCTCGAAGTCACCGCAAGTGTAACTCGACAGAGATCTGACCGCTGGGTTTTTGTCAAAATTACCCGACTAAACTGCAATTTATTCAAAATGAATGAAAATTATTTTGTATTGCGCATTTAAATACACAAAAAAAACTTTTGCTCATATTGCCATTGTTTAAAAACACACATGAAATCTACACACAACGACTTATGACAAGTGGCAAGCGAGCTCTTCAAAAGAATCTGTCATTCTTTGATGTTTACACATTGCTGTGTAATCTGAATCATCAAAGGTGCCGAAAATCAGCTGACTTGCACTCATTTCTTTATAGATCAGATGTTAAAAAAAACTGTCAAGAAAAGATTACACAAAGTAATGTTCAATTTTGCCCATTGTGAAAATATTTTTATAGGATAATTAGCGGGTCAATTTTTGACATAAAAATCTAGTAAAAGTAAGTGCGGGCATTTTTAACCAGGTTTTCAATTTTGAAAATCCTGGTTATTAGATTGGGGTATGGCGGGCGGATGGGCGGATGGGCGGCTGGGCGGATGGGCGGATGGGCGGGCGTCAAACGAAATTGTGTCCGCTCTGTAACTCTTCAACCCTTTGAAGAATTTTGATGAAACTTCAGACAAATATTTACCACATCAAGATGACGTGCAGAACGCATGTTCCGCATGGCTGGCTCCAAGGTCAAGGTCACAGTGACATTAACATTGAAAATCCTGTCCGCTCTGTAACTCTTCAACCCTTTGAAGAATTTTGATGAAACTTCAGACAAATGTTTACCACATCAAGATGACGTGCAGAACGCATGTTCCGCATGGCTGGCTCCAAGGTCAAGGTCACAGTGACATTAACATTGAAAATCCTGTTTACATGATTTCATTAACATTGAAAATCCTGTCCGCTCTGTAACTCTTCAACCCTTTGAAGAATTTTGATGAAACTTCAGACAAATGTTTACCACATCAAGATGACGTGCAGAACGCATGTTCCGCATGGCTGGCTCCAAGGTCAAGGTCACAGTGACATTAACATTGAAAATCCTGTCCGCTCTGTAACTCTTCAACCCTTTGAAGAATTTTGATGAAACTTCAGACAAATGTTTACCACATCAAGATGACGTGCAGAACGCATGTTCCGCATGGCTGGCTCCAAGGTCAAGGTCACAGTGACATTAACATTGAAAATCCTGTCCGCTCTGTAACTCTTCAACCCTTTGAAGAATTTTGATGAAACTTCAGACAAATGTTTACCACATCAAGATGACGTGCAGAACGCATGTTCCGCATGGCTGGCTCCAAGGTCAAGGTCACAGTGACATTAACATTGAAAATCCTGTTTACATGATTTCATTAACATTGAAAATCCTGTCCGCTCTGTAACTCTTCAACCCTTTGAAGAATTTTGATGAAACTTCAGACAAATGTTTACCACATCAAGATGACGTGCAGAACGCATGTTCCGCATGGCTGGCTCCAAGGTCAAGGTCACAGTGACATTAACATTGAAAATCCTGTTTACATGATTTTAACTTGATTTGGCAGTCAAAGGTCATATCATCTTTGGAGGTAATTTAAAAAAGATATGATATATTATTTCATGTCTACTTTGTAACTTGTTTTTCATTATACAGAATTATCAATATAATTATAGTGAACAAATTCTTCTGTGCTGAACTCGTCCTACATTTCTCAACGGATTTTGTTCAAACTTTCACAGAAGCTTTGTCATCAAGCACCCTGGCACATATTGTCGGGGTTTTGTGATTGGATAGTTTTTGACCTAATTATGGCCCTTTGTTTTTTTCCTTATACATAATATTATAGTGAACACTTCTTCAGTGGCAATTCCTCCTACATTATTCATGTTTTACATTGCACATAGTTACATTGTTTGTTGCTTGTATTTGTATTTCAAATACAACATATTTATCTACAATGGTGATAATTGAAAACCTGGTTTCATGGCATTGCCATGTTTCTTGTTTTTTATTTTGCTTGTTTGAAGCCTGTATTCAATCTGCTTTTAAAGACTTTTTTTTTTTTGTTAAATCTGAAAATACTGGTCTTGTCAATTGCAGCAGATTTCTCTCGCTCTGTCCTTAAATGTAATTGCTTACGTAATTTGGCGTGTTTTTTTTGTTTGGTTGTTTTACATTTTTTCGCATTTCGACCTTCAATGCATTGATGAAATATGATCAAAGCCTAATTATAATTCTGTGAGAATGGCTTGACCCCATTTAACAGACATTCTTTCATAATACACCAATAATAAACACTTTGCCGGCCTAGCAGACGACATGCTATTCTCGAGTAAGTAATCGTAGGTAAAATAGTCTGGCATGTGGTAGGTTTAACAGTTAATTATAATACTTACTGCGACATTTCTTTGACAAGTCGTATTATTAGCAGCGTATTTCAAGACAACACAGAATTTTTTTGGGGGCAGTTTTTTTTTTTTTTTTTTTTTTCATTTTCCCAAAATACAGAGTCGGCGGGTCTTTAAACCGAAATATAAAAAAATAATGGCCTAAGTCATGGCCACGCAACGTTCACCTGTGATATAGAACACTTATATTACTCTTATTTGTTTCAAATTTTGGCTTGTGGTAACATAATTAAAGGACATGAATATCGTCATCAATTAAACTAGCAGCACATAGAATGCTTTCATCTTGTCACCATGGCAACCAGTAACTAGGCCATAACAGTAAAAATTTGTCCTCTTCTGTTTGGGTATTCTGTCCTGGGGGGTGGTCATAGGTTTTCCTTATATGTATAAAAGTAAAAACTTCAAAACTTCTTGTCTGAAGAGAGGTTAGATATTTTGTATATCAGGGCTCGAATCGCAAAATGCTAGTTGAAAAATGATTTTGCGAGTAGATTTAGGCCATCCTTAAAAAAATGTTTGTTTGCAGTAACCCGACCCAGAATTTTCAAGGTAGGTAGGTAGGTCGATTTTTTTTTTTATTGAACTGTACTCCCAAATAAATATGGAATTTCAAAATGCTGGACAATATATGCTTTGATAATCTGGTAACAATTAATAAATTGATAACTGAATTCTAATTTAATAAGACCTACATTTTATTTCTTCTATTAACATTTAAAAGAAGCCTATATGACTGAAATACTGTTGGAAAAAGGCGTAAAATGACACAAAATTTAAAAGAACGAAAACAAAGCACAAGGCTTAATTTTCTGATTCAAAAATTTTTTTTTTATCCAGACCATGAAAAAAAATTTGAGTAGGGGCAAATTATGTGAGTCGGTCGCGTTACTGCAAACAAACATTTTTTAAGGCTGGCCTTATGACTACTAGCAATTTTTTGCAAGTTGAAGAAAAAATGGAATACGCTCGTCAGAAAAATCGGAAATATAAATGGGGCGTAATATTTGCAGGTAGCCGAGTTATAAACTATGGGCGCACTTGCTGTCTGGTTTACATTTTCTATACATTAACCTCGCTTAAAAAAGTACACAAATTTAAACCAGTCCAAATGTCATTATGTCCGTGTAAATCAAGTGTGATCGGAATAAAATGTCTAAACAAAAAATAACTAACTTCTTCTCACTTACTGAAGCAAATGTGTCTTCCAATAACAATACTCTGAGTACAGAAGATGATTCACAGTCTATCAAAAGAAAGACAATCAGAACTTCAGTTGAAACGGTTAAAAATTGGGAGAAAGAACTGCATGTCAGTCTTACGTACAAACTCAATGACGATGGAAATGTTGCCAAAATATTTTGCACAGATTGTTGTGCGCATAATCCAGACAAGACATCGTCTGTATGGCGATGATATTGCATTATTATTTTTTTTACATGTAGATTGACATTTGATAAGAATCCCTGTCCCCTAAATCAAGTTTTTGAGTAGAAAGTGATGTTGCTGATTTGTAACCCGGGCAGTTCGAACTCGTCCAAATAAATTACAATTTTGGAATTAAAAAATCATTGTCGTTAAAAGTGCTAGTTGAATTCAGTTTTTGCTACTAGTTAAAAATTTGTCTACTAGCAAAAAATTGCTAGTGGCAAAAAAAGTTAAATTTGAGCCCTGGTATATACTATTATCTATAGGTCTTCAACCATAGTTGTTCAAAGTTTGCCCCTATTGTTAAAATTTGCCCATACACAAATAACAGTATGTCTTAAGGTGCATGGTTTTGGGAGGGGCCAATGAAATTTCAAGTTGTTGTCTTTTCAACAGAGCAAACAAATTTCTGTTTCTTTTTTATTGAAATTGTCAAATGCATTATTATGTGGTGAAAATTTGGCTACTTTGAGACTGAAACAGATATACATAGGTATCTCATAATTGTTTTT